TGGGGCGTCGGAGGTCCCCAGACGTCCCCAGGGGCCCTCCGGGGACCTCCAGGGCCCCCCCAGGACATCCCGCGGCCTGCGGAGGCAGTCGTCCTCGTCCTCGTCGTCGCCGTCGAGGCAGAGGCGAGGCGGAGGCGAGGCGGAGGCGAGGCTGCGGGACGTCCCCCGAGGCCCACCCGGGGCCCGTATGGGGAGGGAAGGAGCCCGAGAGCGTCGGGGTCGAGGGCCCCACGTAAGTAAACCCCGCGCGCCGAGCCACGCACGAAGAAGAAGTGTTCCAGGGGCCCCGACCGCCGGCGCCTCAATCCCGGCGTTTCTCCTCGAGTTCGGCCCCCCGGGGGCCTGCGGGCGGGTGGCAGTGGGGGGCGACCTGCGTGGGGGGGGTGGAGGAGGGGCCCCTGTGAGAGGCCCCTGCTGGCTCCAGATGGAGCCCCGAAGGGCTCCTCTTTGAAGGGCCCTTCTCTTCACCCCCCGAAACCGTTTGAGCCAGGCTGCGATATCTGAGTCATCTTGAAAGTAGTTTGTACTCTGAAACTGCTCAACGGCCTTTGGGTATCTTTTTGGGGGTCTCTCACCCCCCACTACCGCCCGCCCGAGGGCCGTCTCCGGGACGAAGGAAGCGGTCGAGACCTCTGGAGCCTCGGCTTGACGAGAGCGTGTTGGCGGATGTCAGGGCTGAGCGCGGAGAGTGGGCGTGGGGGGCTCGGGCGGGCCCGCCTCCGAGTGTGGCTGGATCGCCTCAGGGGGGTCCCCGTGGTAATTCGCCCTCCTTTTCTCTTCTCCTGCTCCTCCTGCTCCTCCTCCTCCTCCTCCTCCTCCTCCTCCTCCTCCTCCTCCTCCTCCTCCTCCTCCTCCTCCTCCTCCTCCTGCCTTCCTTCTTCCTCCTCCCCTTGAGATCGGGAAAGCCCCCTTTCAAGGGCAACGGATTCCGTTCTCTCGTTCTTGGACGGGCGTCGATCGTTCTTGCTCTTGCCCGCGCTCCTTCCTGCGGCCAGTCTCCTCCTCCTCCTCATCATCATTCTCCTCCTCCTCATCCTCCTCCGCGGCGCACGGCCAGAGCCCAGGGGCGGCCAGGGCATAGTTGATAAAAGATGCGCTCGAGCGCTACGGCAGGTCGTCGACGGTTGTGGGGGGGCGATGGGGTGACCCAAAGAAGAAGGGGAGCATAAAGGGAGGCGCAGAAGGAGGAGGAGGAGGAGGAGGAGGAGGAGGAGGAGCAGCTGCAGCAGCAGGAAGAGGGGGAAAACGAAGAGAAAGAGCAGGAGGAAGAGGAGGAGAAGGAGGAGGAGGGGTCGGGCTCGAGGGACGCGGCAATTGAGCGTCTCATTTGCTTCCCTCTCCAGGGTGGCGCTTTGGCCCCTGACCACCGTCCCATCTAGATGCCAGGCGCTAGCCATTTTTTGCCAGCCCGAGGTTCGCAGCAGTGTCCAGCTGGTCCGCGCGGCCACGGGACGCTGAAAGGAGTGGGGGGAACGAGAGAAGTGAGAAGGAGCGGGGGGAAGAGGGAGGGAGCAGGGTGGCCCATGGGGACAGAAATCAGAGAGGAGAAGAGACGACACTGGGGTTTCGAAAAGGCATGAGTTGGCAGAGATGATCCCCGCCCTCACTGTTGTGGGAATCTATATCTATATATATATAGATACACGCATATATATATATATAAAAATATGTATATAACATATGTATAGATCATGAGCGCGCGCACTGCATATGCATCTGCGCGTAGTTGTTTTGGGGGTCAAGCCTTGGCACGCGACGGTGTGTGTGTGTGATTGTCGCTGCTTTGCGCACGTCCTGAAGAAGTGGCCATGCACATATCAGAGTTCTCAACTTCCGCAGGTCAGCAGGGGCCAGGCCAGGTCACTGGTGCCCGGCTTCGGCCTAGTTGGAATGGCCAAATTCAAGTTCTTGCAGGGGAGCCTGCGGTGGCCCTGCACTTGCTGTCCGGTGGCCACAGGAAAGACGCTCAAACAAGGACCTCGTTGGACTCAGGGTCGGCTCTGTTTTTCTGGTCGCTCCTCGGGTTTAGGCAAGGGGGGATATCCGTGGCCGAGGACCGCCATGGCCAGAACAGCCCCTTCGTGCTGCATTCTGCGTTCCACATGGTAGCACGATGACTGTAGCTGCTCCGGGGAGGTCCTATGCTGGCGCCCGCGTGAGCTGCAGATGCGGGCCGCTGGCGCTACGGATCCCCCTCCTGCGAGCACGCCCGAGCGGCGAGTGCGCACGGCGGCCTCCGAGCACAAAAGGCCTCGGCGCGACGCGCTGACCACGTCCCGGTCCCCGACCGTCAACGTCCCGAGCCCGTCTCGGCCTCCCGCCCCCGCGGAGCGGAGAGCGACGCACCATCCGCCAGCAGGGCACAGCGTGTCGCACGGGGGCCGCCGCCGCGACACGCTGGGCACAGGCCCCCCGCCGTGCCGCGCCCCGTTGCGGGGCTGCTGCGGCCCCACCTGCCTCGCAGCGCTGCGCCGAGGAGCGGTGGAGAGGGCGTGTGCCTGCCAGCGGGCGGTCGACGCGCCGTCTTAGTCGCGGTGCGCCGCCGTTCCCTGGAGCTGCGCTCTCCGCTGGTCTGGCGTGCTGGCCGCCCTGCTGTGGGGGGGGGGGGAGGGATGGGCTCGAGGGGTAACGCATCGACACCAAATCGCCCATTGATCGCCGACGGGGGCCCTTGCCCGGGAGTTCCGCGGATTCGTGGGAGGGAGCACGGCGCTGAGCTGCCGGCGACGTGTCGCCGGTGGAAGCTCGACGCTTCCCCCTCCGAGCCGATGCCCTCGCTCAGTTTCGTGCTGTCCGTCCGCGCGGGTATCATCATCTTTCGGCGCGATTCGTCCAGGCACGGCCTGTTTCGGCTCGCGGGCTCTGCAGGGAGCGCATGATGATGAAGTAGGCATGGGCGTTGGCAAAGGAACGCGTCGAGGACGGGCCGCATCCTAGCAGCTACGATCTCTCGCACGCAATGGTGGGAGGAACGGTGGAAGTAGAGCGAAGACTCCTCCGCCAGTCGAGTCGCGACACTATGCATGTTTTGCCCAATCACCCTTTCGAGCCGACGAAGCATTATGTCTGGCTGCAGTTGTCTCCAGCCTGCTGTCTCTTAGTGTCTTTTGTTGGTTGCTCCGTTGGTGGCTCATGTAAGTGCCGAGGCCTCCGACGTCGCAATGTTTCGATGCGCGGTCTCTGGACCTCTCGATCCCTTCCTGGAGACCGCTTCTTCTCCCGAGATGGCCGACAGGTGGCCAGTGCACTGCTCCTTCGTCCCGCGTTCTTCTTGCACTTTCTCTAGTTTGCTTGGATAGGCGGCGACGTCGAACGTCTTTACATTCCGACAGACCGACCGACCGATGTGGAGGGCATTGATTTTCCAAGCGGCACAGAGGAGGAGGAGGAGGAGGAGGAGGAGGAAAAGGAGAAGGAGGAGTAGGAGGAGGAGGAGGACTGGTGCAAAACCAAGAGTCATCAACGATGTTGGAATTAACCCTCCCTCCAAGTTCCCTCTTCAGAGGCCCCCACAACGGTTCATTTCCATTGAGGGAACTGCCTCGTTGGTAGGCAGCCGTTTGAAGATCCTGAGGCATGCCAAAACATTGTTCTCGGGATTTCACAACGCCACGTACCAACTTGGCTGCTGCGTCTTGACGATCCAGAATCGTGCCAGAGCGCCCAAAACATTGCTTCTGATACGCTGATCATGGGAATCCGTGAAACTCTTGCAAATGTTGAAAAAGAATGTGCGCGGCGCTAAGGCGAGAGCCACATTTTGAACACCACCCGCCCTTAATCCGTGAAACTCTTGCAAATGTTTAAAACGAATGCGCGCGGCGCTAAGGCGAGAGCCACATTTTGAAAACCACTCGCCCTCAATCCGTGAAACGGTTGTCACGTTGAAGCTTCAGAGTCATAAACGGTGAGGAAGCGTCAGGCGAAACGCCCAGCCCGCCCTAAAAACTGGCCTCGAGGTGCGACAGAGAGGAGTTATTTAGAAGGAGAAGGAATGGAGGAGGAGGAGGAGGAGGAGGAGGAGGAGGAGAAGAATTAGTGAATTTGTTTTCTCCTTCGGGGGCAGCCCCGACGGTTCATTCAAGCAAGGTCGAGGATGAGGAGGAGGAGGAGCAGGAGGAGGAGGAGGAGGAGGGGCCAGAGTAGGGGCGAGCCAACTCCCCCCCGTCGGGAAAGGTCTGGGTGGATGTGTTGTTTAGCAGGGTTGAGGAGGAGCAAAAGGAGGAGGGGCAGGTGCTATTATGTGCCCTTGAGGGCTCCTCAACAGTGGAGACCCATGCCAAGAAACGCCCTGCTTGTCTCCATGGTGCCCTGGGTTTCTTGGGATTCGATGGTTTTGCGATGGAGAGCGCGAGGTTCCCACACCAAAATCAATGGACGTCCTGGGGTCTCAGGGTTGGGGTTATTGTGGAAGGTCTTTTGTGCACTGGCCTCCGCTGTACTCTTCCGTTCCGTCCTTCTTGCCTTCCCTTCACCACGCAGCTGCCTACTGCTCCCGGGCACGTGCTTGCTGCTGTTTGTCCTATCTGTGCGTGCTGCCCGTGCGTTTGCTCTAGCACGCGCGCCGCAGACGGTGCGGTCACGCGCTCACGAAGTCAGGGAAACTATACAGGACGGGGCTCTGGTCTCTTTTTTTTCTTTCTCCTCCCCCATCCCCCTCCTCCACCTCCTCCTCCTCCTCCTCCTCCTCCTACTCCTCCTACTCCTCCTACTCCTCCTACTCCTCCCCCTCCTCCTCCCCCTCCCCCTCCCCCTCGTTCTCCTCCCTGCCGCATCGAAGACCTGGGTGATCGACGGTCTAAAGCATGTCCGTGTCAGGCTCGTCTCGCCTTGCATACGAAGCCCCCTTTGGGCCGCGGAGGGTACACGCTCACCAGTGGTGCAGGCGCGTGCCGAAGAGAGGAAAACCAACCAGGGCGGGTCGGAGGCGGGGCGGGCGGCCCCGGAGAGAGCCCGTGACAGATCTCGAGAGGGGGGGGAGGAGGAGGAGGAGGAGGAGGAGGAGGAGGAGGAGGAGGAGGAGGAGGAGGAGGAGGAGGAGGAGGAGGAGGAGGAGGAGGGAGGAGGAGGAGGAGCAGGAGGAGGAGGAAGGAGAGGAGGAGGAGGAGGAGGGAGGAGAGGAGGAGGAGGAGGAGGGGGGGGGCTCCCGCGCGCGGAGGTCAGCCGAAGGACCCGCATCGTCTTCGACCAGCGCCTCTACGCCGCCCGGACCGGGGGGGGAGCGACGGCAGAGGCCGGTGGTGCGCAGGAGATCCTCGACCTCCAGCGCAGTGGACAAAGGGCCGAGCACGGCCGCGCCTGGCAAATGTCTTCCCTCCTCTTCCTCTTCCCCCTTCCTCTCCCCTCCTCTCCCCTCCCCAGTCGCTCTCCCCCCTCCCCCCTGCTCCTCCGCCTCCTCCTCTTCCCTCTCCTCCTCGCGGCCGCGGGCGTGCGCGCTGTCGCACAGCGCCACCCCCCCCCCTCGGCCGTGCTCGGCCTCCAGGGTCCATTGCGGGGCTCGGGAGCCATGAAAAGAAGAGTCGGGACGAGAAAAGCCAGCCCAACGGAGAGGGGCCGGGACTTCCGGGGAAGCCCGTAGCGGGAGACATTGCATCGGATTTCTTTGGCATCCGGGCCGCCCAGATGGGGCTGGAACTTTTTGTCCGTCGCGGCGCGGCAGAGGTGATCCGTTCGCGCGTGGAGCAAGCCCAGGATGTGGATTGAGAATTGCCCCACATGCAATGGGGGGGGCGGAGCAGCAGAGGGCGGCCGCAAGAGGAGGAGAAAGGTGGGAGGGCACTCTTACGCGGCGGCGCCCCGGGGGGTATACGTGGGGCGGCCAGGCCGCTGGGCAGCCCCTGGCAGCGGGGCGAGGCGGCGTCGCGGGCGCACCCAGGGAAGAAAGGGGCCAGCAGCCGCAGTGCGGGCGAGCCTAGCAAGTGGGGGGGGCAGGCGGCGGGCGGTGGGCAGACCAGGGCGCCCGCCCGACCGGGGGCGTGGCGGCGGCACGCAGAACAACAGCGGCGGGCAGGTGGGCCGGCACGGTGCAACTGCCGCGGTGGCGATCGCGGCGAGCGCCGGGAGGCAGGCCGGCAGGGCCAGGCGGGCGGGCGCCAGGGCAACGGAGCGCCACCCTGCACCGAGCAGCGCGGGCCGAGCGGGGGCGAGGGCGAAGGGGAGGGCGGAGAAGCAAGAGCCATCCCGAGGCCGGCGCACGCATCACAGCCAGGGAGGAGGGCGGCGCCGAGTGCAGTGTGGAACACGGGCGCAAGCCCCCAGCGGGGGAGGCAAAACCGGGAGGTCCAGCCGCGACGGCGGTGTCCCCTCACGTGGGGCCTCGCGAGCTGCCGGCAGGGGCGGGGCCAATCTGCGGAGCCTCGAGGCTGTGGGCAGCAGCCGCGTCCGGAGTGCGGCCCTGTAAGCGCAGGCGCGCCACCGGCGACTGGCGAGGGGCAAGGCGGGCGCCGCCGAGAAGTGCAGCCATGGTGGCGACTGAGCGGCGGGGAGGGGCCCACGGCAGGAGGGCAGGCAGGCGGGCGGGCGGCCCCCGGCGCGAGGGCTGCAACCCCGGAGCGGGGGCCGCGCCGACAGGCAGGGAAAAGAGGAGGGGGGCGCCAGGAGGCAAGGCGGGCGTTGGCCCGCCGGGGATGGCGGGCACTGGCACGCGGCCCAAGCGGGGTGTGCTGGTGCCAGACGCGGGCGCATCACCTGGGCTTCAGGAGGGGAAAAAGCACACAGACACAATTAATCGGCGATTCCCAGAAAATATGGGAAAATATGGGAAGTGGGGGGGAAGACAGAAACCCAGAACATATAGGAAAATATGGGGAATCGTTTTATTTGTGTGTATTTATTTGCGTGTCCTGGGGCCCCTTCAGGGTTGGATGCCGCGCCCGCGTTGAGGGGAAACGTGCGAACCCTACCCCTACCCCCCACGATTTCTGGGGGGGAGGGTGGGGTTCACTTCGCTCGGGAGCTCCCGAGCGAAGTGAACCCCACTCTCCCCCTCAGAAATCGTGGGGGTTAGGGGTAGGGTTCGCATGTGGACCCCTACGTGTGAGGACACCTGTGGCGCACCACCTGGGGCGGACGGCGCGCGGGGGCGCAGGGCGGCGGGCGCCCCTCGGCGGAGGGGGCGCTCCACGGGAAGGCACATAGCTGGTCCGCAGGCAGGTGTGAAGAGGCCTGGCGCCTCCATAGCAGGGGGGGCAGCCGGGCGTTGCGCACCCTGGGGTGGGGGCACGCAGGGAAAACACCGAGCGGGAACGCGGACGAGTGGTCGCGGGGAGGGAGTGGGCATCTCTTGGGGTGGAAGGCGCCACGCGGTCGTCGTCAAAACCAGGTGAGTCGGGAAGCACTTAACTGGTGCGCAGACACGTGGGGAAAGCGCGAGCGCCTCCCGGGTGGGAAGGCAACACGTGGTCGTCAGCGTCGTCGCGTCAAGGGGAGCGCGGGCTGTCGCCCCTCGAGCACGCGGAGTCGGGACTGGTCTCCCGCGGGCCAGGTCGGTTCGCAGTGCCGCTTGCCTCCGTGACCCTTACCGGATGCTTTGGCTTTGCCGGCTCTGCTGCTGCTGCTGCCACACTGTACCCCAATGGACGTCCAGGTTGTGGCTGCTGCACAGGACGCGGATGTCGTAGTGGACGCTGGCCATCTCGCCCTTGAAGACCCGGCTGAAGTCGTCATAGCCGCGGGGGTTGTAGTTCCCCTTGCCATGGCCCTTCCCGTCACGCCTGCCGCAGTCCTTGTTCCAGACCTCCACGAAGAGCGCGCCGTGGGTGGCTTTCAGGCGGTTGAAAACTTCCGACCAGGTCTCGAGTCGCTACTGCGGCATCCACTGAATGTCGCACCTGGTCGTCTTGTAAAGTTAGGCCATTCTGACGGTCCCCCCAGTCCCTCCACCCAATGGCCACCCTAGCTATAACTTGCGGGTCACAGCTGCCAGTCCACTCGGATCCAGCTTGACCTGCGAAATGAGGCCTCCACGGTAATCCGACGTCGCAGGGCACGTCTCCTGCGGATGGGCGGGTGGCGACAACAAACGTCTGCATGGGCTCCCGGGCCGCGTCGGCTGCTACGTCCTGGAGGCCCCAGTCCGGTCTGCCCCTCAGGGAGGGCCAGGCCAGGTGAGTGGTGGGGCCTATCCCAGACTTTGAGCCAGAAGTCGCCAATGCGGACGCATAAGTGCTGCCCTCCGTGTACCTCCCCGACTGGCCCTGGCATCTCCCCATGGCCAGGGTCAGGCAGCAGTCGAGGTCCCTGCTCGTCGACCTGCGTATATACCGGCAGGCAGTCCTGTGATCGCCCGCTCATCATCCCTGGTGAAGACTTGCAAGCTCCACGGCGGACGTCTGGGGCTGGTCCCAGGTGCATCCCGGAAACCACAGGCTTCACTGTGGGGAGGTATCCTTCGCGCACCCTCCCTCCCTCCCTCCCTCCCTCCCTCCCCTCCCTCTCCTCCTCCTCCTCCTCCTCCTCCTCCTCCTCCTCCTCCTCTTCCTCCTCCTCCTTCTCCTCCTCCTCCTCCTCCTCCTCTCCTCCTCCTCCTCCTCCTCCTCCTCCTCCTCCTCCTCCTCCTCCTCCTCCTCCTCCTCCTCCTCCTCCTGCTCCTCCTGCTCCTCCTCCTCCTTCCTCTCTCATTTCTCCATGTCGTCCTCAGTCGTGGTCTCGATGGTCCACGGCTGTCGCACACCCTCGTCGGCGCCGGGTGCGGGGCCCTCGGGTCGATCGCCGGGCGGGGGCGGGCGGTGCGCTGGCGCGCCGTGGGCCTCTCGCCTCCCAAGGCTGGCTTCGGAGAGGGGCCAGCACTGGCGCTGGCGGGGGGCGCGCAGGCACGGGCCGCAGGCCGCCGGTGCGGCGGGGGCTGCGCGGCAGGGCTGCGAGGGCCTCGGGCGCCCCGCTCGAAGCCTCCTCGAGCGGGGCGCGGCCAGCGAGGGCGGCGCAGGATGGGCCGAGGAGGCAAGGATGCGGGGGTGCCCTCGGGAGGGTTGCCCCTCCTTGCTGTGCGGGCTGGCTGCAGCGACTCACGGGTTTGGCGCGCGGTCGCCGAATCCGTCTCAGGCTCTGGGCTTGGAGCTGCCAGCTGGGCTTCCCGCGTGGCCTCGGCCAGGGTCCGATCGCCGGCCTCCTCCCTGGCCGGGCCACCCCGTCGCTCCTGCTCGCCAGCAGCAGGCGATGCGCTGGGGGGGGGCGGGGGCCAGCAGGCGCCTGGGCCGCGTGGCTGCCAGGCTCCGGGCCGACGTTGGGGCTGTGGTATGTCTGCTCGGGCGGCGCCGCGGCGTGTGCGGGCGCTCCAGGTTCTGCGGCTGTGGGCCTGCGGCAGTTGGCCAGCTGGGCCCCGTCTTCCTGCCGAAAGCCTTGGCTGTCAAGGAATGCCGCCAGCGCATCAGCGTCGTGCCGGAGCGGATCACTGCCCCCGAACGTGGTCTTGGTCCCCAAGAAGTTCTCCCAGACAGGCTTCAGGTTGTCGTCTCTGTCTCCACCTCTGCGCCTCCCCTTGACTGCGCTTCCCCAGGCGACGATGTCCGCCAGGGCAGCACGCCCCCCGTCCCAAGGGTAGTTGTCTGGTATCCCGCTCAGCGGTATCGTGTCACTGTAGATAGAGGCCAGAAAGTCGAGACACTCGCCGCGGGCCCAGCACTTTGCGTCAACCGTACGGCCCCCGCACCTCTCCAGCTCCTTGGCGCGTCGCTCTTCGACGAAGCCCCGCCACGCCTGGTCGATTTCGTGGTGGAGCTTGCGGACGTGGCCCGTCATGATGTGCGCGATGCCCAGGTCGAACCAGCTGCGCCGCGACGTGGGTCGGATCACGTCGGATGCTGCAAGTGAGGCTACTGTCAGGCACGTCAGGGTGGGGCAGGCTGGAGGCGGAAGCAGCTCGAGGTCAGCCGGCACTGCTGCGGGTTCTGCTGGCATGACGGGCAGCGGAAAGCGCGCCTCGCGGGCGATGTCGGGGGGGTCGTGCGCTGGCCAGGTCGCGCCAGGTCGCAGTGGGGGGGCACGCCCGTAGTACGTCATGTCCAGCTCAAGAAGTCCGAGGGGACGTCGATGCTCATCCACATGGGTACCTGGGCAACGCCCCTGGGGAGGGCTGGGTGGTATTCGTCTCAGGCACTGTGCCTCCTTCCGCCCGGGCCGATCACCCATTCGACCAGGTGTGCGCACCTGACCTGCAGGCATGTCCCCTCCCATGTCAACTCGTCGAGTTCCAGCTGCCTGGCCCTGAGCACTCCACCGCTTTCCCACAGGGTCGTGAGAAAATGCCTGAGGTAGCCCGAGCTCGCGGCTGCAGACGCCGCATTGTCGGCGTCCTCGTTAAGGTTCCTGGCGCAGAAGTTGATCCAATGCAGGTTCACCCCGGGGCCGTAGTTGCACCTGACTTGCCCGACCAGGTCCAGCAGTTCGGCGTGCGTCAATTTGCCAAGTCGGCGGCCCTCGAGGTCGGACGGCGGCGGGGGCGGGCAGCTGTCGGGCAGAGCAGGCAGCCAGGAGTCGCACGGGCGGGCGCTTCCTGCGAGCAACAGGCGGGCCGCCGCCGCCCCTGCCCCTTCTGGGCGCGGAGCCCGGGCGCCGCCTCTGGTCGGAACCTGTCCTGGTCCTCGCACGGGAGGCCGCGTCTGTCCGTCGCCCCCCGGGGCTCTCCAGGCCTCCCATCGGTGCGGGGGGGCCTTGCCGGTCGCGCCTTCAGTTGCGACGGGGGGCGGACACCCGTCTGCGTGGGTGCTGCGACGAGCGTCGCGCGTCATCTCGCCCTCTGGGGGCTGTCCCCGGGGCAGACTGGTGGCGATCGTGCCGCGCGACTTCCAGCACAATCCTTGCCCTTGCCCCCCGGTCGGGTAAGGCTGTTGGCCTCTCTTCCTGCTGGTCGTGGCCAGGAGGTTGGCTGTGTCCAGGTGGTCGGCTGCGTCCTCCCAAAGCATGAGCGGGTCCAGGTTGGCTGTCATCGCGAGGGAGACGGCCTGTGGCGCCCTCTTAAGATCCAGGCCCTTGCCCAGGTCGTGGATGCTGTTGCTTGCTGGCTGGTGCGGAGACGGCGACCAGCGGGTTGGAGGCGAGCCTGGCGGCGGGGCCGACCTCTGGGCGCACCAGCGGGGCTTCTGGGTAGACCAGCTTCCCACCTCTGGTCAGGATGGCCTGCTCGTCAGATGGTCGCGCGTCCCAGATATGGACCAGGCAGCGCGCACAGTACCACCTGGGGTTCCACGCTCTGGCGCGGAAGGCATGCCCCCATTCGGCAAAGCTAGGTAGCCCGTAGTCCACATACCAGGTTACTCGCGAGGACATTCCACGTCAAGGCTGGCTCCGCCAGCGGGCAGCCGTCGCACTTGGCCGTATTCCCCTTCTGCCACGCCTAGCTCCCGAACCTGTCCTCATCGATGCGGCGCTTGAAGATAGTGGTGCCAAGGGCGCTCGGGCACTGGGCCAGTCTGCGGCAGGAGTAGTTCCGCCAGCAGCGCGTTGCCGGCGGGTCTGTGGACTGGGCCCCTTGTGTCAGAGTCTTCCTCGCGTGGATCTCTCCACTCTGGCTCTGCTGGGCGTCCAGTTGGCTCAGGAAGCGGCCTGGCTTAAAGTCGTTCGGGACCGAGTGCCCGTGGGCGCGCAGCTCGTCTTTCCAGCATCCAATGCAACGCCAACTGCAGCAGACCCCCAGGAGATAGGCTGCCTTCCAGTTGGCCGCCAATGGCTGTATGGCCTCTGCTGACACCCATGCCCCCGCGTCGGTTCCAAAGCTCTCGCTGCAGTCGCCACACCGGATGACCGCGCTCCGCAGGTGCTCGCAGGTTTCAAAGCGGACGTCTTTGTTGCGAAGCCCAGAGGGGTCCAGGGCGACACCAGGTAGCGGGGCGCCAGGGAGATTTGACAGGAAGTCCCGCCCTGAGCAGGAAATTCCACCTTCCACGTACGTCACGGCCTGGGCTTGGCTCAGCTCTCCTCGACCCAGTAGTCCGACCCCAGAGCCTGCCAGGGCAGCCGACAGCGTGCGTACGGCGCAGTCCTCACCCTTGAGCGCTGCCAGGCTGGCCGGCGCCACCAGCGCTTCGGGGGCCAAGAAAGGAAGCCTTCGGCGGGTGTCCGCAGAGGTCCAGATCTCTCCAGCTGGTCGGGCAGCCTGCCTGCGTGGCCGCCCGGGTTGGGTTGTGGGATGCAGCCACCGGGCGCCCCACGGCGCGCAGCAGGTCCTCGATCCGGCCGTGGAGCGTCCGGAAGTCCTTGGCCGGTGTTCCATGGTTCGCCCCGAGTCGGGAGCCTTGAGACGGGGGTCAGTGCAAACGGGGTCAGCCAGAGCGCCATATCTTGCAGGATCCTGCGAAGACCCCCTCTGGCTGACCCGGGTTAGCGAGCCGCTCGTGGCCGCGAGGCGGCCGTGCATATTGGCTGACCCGGGTTTGCGAAGACCTGCGTTGCAGTTTTTTGTTGTCCTGCATTGCAGTTTTTTGGTTTCCTGCTGACCCGGGTCTGGATTGACCCGGGTCAGAAGATCCCCGACCGAGCCTGTCCCAGGTGGGCAGCCGCGCCGTGTTCCAGGGGTCGCAGAAGGCGAGTAACCGCAAGCCCCAGGTAATAAATCATCCCCCCCTTCCCAGCTGATAGTCGATTATCCCCGGCCAATACAGAGTTAGTCGGGGGAGGGGCAGCAAGGCCGAACTTTTTTTCGCGGGGGAAAGTTACGAATCGAAGTTGCTATCTTCTTATGCTGGTTCGCAATATCATCGGAAACGTGTGGCAGTCAGCCTCACAGGCGCACCCGGTGGGGCCAGGTTTGCCGTATGGGTATGAGAACACCCTGGACTCGCGGATCATGGTGAGCATAATCACCAACAGGCTCGTGCCCCCGAAGAGCTGAGGGGCCTCTGGTCGGGTCCTAGGAGTCGGGTACGCAGTTCTCCCCAACCGTCAGCAGGCTCACTCACCATGGCCTTGATGTGGTCAGCGGAAGGCTGTCCCGTATGCCGCTGACACCTGCAGGTGGAGTTGCTCCAACACGCCGGTGGTTGCCGCGGAGTGCCGTGGGGGACGGAGTCACTGCCCAGGTTGCTGTGTACACGTAGTTCGTATGGTCGGAGTCATTGCCCAGGTTGCTGGGACGGAGTCACTGCCCAGCTCCAGGTCGTACAGGAAGCAGTCGTGGCTGAGAAGCCTCCTGCAATGGTCCGCCAGGTCACGGGGCACGTCGTCGGAGCCGTGCATGTGCGGGTAGAGACTCATGACGAAAAAGAGCACCTGAGCGAACCCTGGGTCCATCAGCAGCCTTGTCCCGGCGGTCTGCAGGTCCTCGGCCAGGTGGTCCCAGTTATGGTCGTCCAGCAGCGGTGAGCCGACCAAAGTTGCAAAGCCGAGTTGCTGCTGCTCTCGTATGTTGGCAAGTTTTTGCTCTGGGGCCAGAACAGGTGGGGTCGGAGGATCGCCCCGCATCGCTGGTGCACCGGCGACGCGGCGCAATCTGGAGCCGAGCTTTCTCCACCCCGATTTCGCCGATACATCGGCGGTGCGGCGCGATCTTCCAACCCCATCTGCTCGGGCCCCATGTGGGCGTCCTCCCCAGAAGCCGGGCGGGCCCAGTGAAGCGCTCCAGAACGTTTTTGGAACGCACCGAGACCGTTCTGGAGCGCTCTGGATTGGCCGCGGCGCCCGACACATCTTGCATAATCGCCCGAGCTCAGAGCTCCCCGACCTGTCCCAGTTCCACTCTGCCCCAGTCCTGGCTCCGCCCTGAGAAAAGGTCTGGGGCGGGAGCGGGGGCTCTCGGAGAAGGCACCTGGCCCTTCGGAGGCCCACCAGGCTCACGGGAAGCCTCCTTCAGAGCCGAGGGGGCGGGGGGCTCGTCTGAAACGCCCCCTTGCGCTCGGAGAAGACCGCGCGCCGCGTGTCCCGCCCGCCCTTTCTGCGAGCCTCCCGGGAGGGCCTCGCCGGCCCTGCCCCCGAAGAGGTTCCCAGAGCCGTCGTCTGGCACGAGGGATGGGGTTGCCTCTCTGCCCCAGGGGTGCCAAGAAGAGCAAGAGCTGGAAGGGTGTTTTGACCTCCTCCTCCTACTCCTCCTCCTCCTCTTCTTCGATCATCGGGGATCGAGGATGCATGCTTTTACATGCTTGCTTGTGGGTGGGGGCGGCTCCAGAGGCCTCACGGGCTCGTGTCAAAATGGCGCGTCTCCTGCACCACAGCTTGGGCGCATCGGAGCCCTCGTGCAGCAGTATTGGGACATTCGGTGTGATAGTGGGGTCCAACGGGGCAATATTGAAGGTGCTAGTTGAAAGTTGAATCTCTGGGGGGTAATGTTCGAGAATATAGAGACACTCGAGGATCTCGCAAGGCATGTAAGCCAAGTCTGATCAGATGAACATTATGCGATTGTTGGCTCAAGTGAAAATTGGCGTAGAAGCGACACCGTTGTTTTGCGAATCCCGTTCGACAGTTTGATCACTCCCTTCTGGTGCGGAAATCGGCATGACGGTCACGTTGCGCCTTGGATTTTTGGCGGCCGCTAGCCAGATTGCGCAAGGCAGCCGTGTCTCCAACCAGAACGTGCTGTTGGCGAACGATGAAATCGCCGATAATGACAAGTGGGACGGCTTCGACGATTTCGACCTTGATAAAGACGAAGACGTTGATTTCAGTTTCATGACGGACAACTTCCGCTACCTTGGGCACGAGACAGGTCTCCTTGGCACTATTACGGGATGGTTTGGCGGGAGGTCTGTTAGCGATGATCGCAAGGACGAGCTCGTGGAGGGGCACGCGTGCCAAAGACGGGGCAGCCGCGAGGAGACCTATTATGCCACGTCCTTGTGTTATTGGTTGCCGGAGATCTCGAGCAAAAGCTCAGGCCAGCCGTTGTTGACCTGGAAGGGTGGCAAATATAGCAGGGCCAAGAGTCTATGCCCTGGCATGACAGGCCAGGGTGTGTGTGCCAAGTGTTCGGTGTGCCATAACAATGCGCGCGATGATGATGGGGATGTCGAGTTCGAGAGGTTCTACGAGCAGCTGACGTTGCCTGATGGCTGCTTAGGGGAGAATCAGATTGAGCGCCAGTGCGTGGATCAGTACAATGAAGGGAACCATGGGCTGAAGATGGAGGATAGCCGATGCCACGAGGTAGAGGGTCGGTTCGATCAGGCTACAAGCGAATTTGCTCGCTGCACTTCGGCCCTGATGCGCCTCCCAGTGAGGATCCACCACGAATTGCCACAAGATATTCAGCGAGCACAGCAGAATATTTACCGGAAGGAGGCCGAATTGGATACAGCCCAGCGTCACGAGCGCAATAAGCGTCATTGGATGCAGGGCCAGTGCCACTCCTACTCGAGATTGAAGCATGGCTTACGTTGGCAAAACATGTTCTTGGGCGCTACGCCAACCGAACAGCTCCTCGACATGATGTCATTCCATTGCCAGTGGCCGAGAAGGCCAATCGACAACCAGAACGGACACTATTGGGACGAGATGCAGCGGTACAACAACCAGATGCAGTTGTATAATGCTTGCAACATGTGCGAGAACGCGAAGACCCAGCTCAGAAACGCCAACTCGCAGACGAGAAGGGCCCGATCTGGCTTGAGAAGCGCAGAGACCCAGGTCACCAGATTGCAGCAGGAGCTGTACAAAGCGCAGCAGGACCTTTCCATGTGGCAGTCCAGGCAGAGTGAGCTGGACGGCGCGAAGCGGGCCATGGACATCGAATGGTTGCCGCAGGCGAGCCGCTTAGTGTCCAGGGTCCCCGAGATCTTGGCGCCTGCGAGGTTGCGATTGCAATTTGCGTGGACGAGTAGGGGCTGAGAGCGCCTCCATGATGGGCGGTCTAATCTCCTGCGGCCGATTCGGTTCAGCTGCGCACTCGCTCCGATTCGGCATCCCGCGGCTTACGTGACAAGCTGATCTCCGAAGCTGGTCTCGCCGCCATCGCGTCGTTCCCCCTCCCCTGTGCCGCAGGTATGTGGCGCTACAGAAAGGGCCTCGCCTTCGATGGGCCGAGAAGGTGACACCTCCTGATCGGCGGGGGAGGCGGCGGAAATAAAGCGAGGCCGTCTCTTCTGGCGGAAGGCCGGCGGAAGCCGAAGATACGCCCCCGCGAGACGACCCCTTCTGGGATCCAGGGACTCCGCGGGGGACCACACGCCTCTCGTTCCTGTGATTCTTGCAAAGGCATCACCATGTCAGACTCGTTCAGGCATTTCCAAGACGACCATCTCCAACGTGTGGGGTTTAGGTTCTTTTTGATTCTTGCAAAGTCATCACCATTTTAGACTCGTTCTCATGCATATCCTAGACGACCATCTCCCAAAATGCCCACACCTCAAAGCGACCCTTCGAACACCTCGTTTGGGATGCCAGCGTGCGCCTCTCTCACGCACACCCGGCGGCCCCGCACGCCCGCCTCACGCACGCAGGCCTGAGTTGGCCGCCACGCGCAGAGGGGGGTGGGGGGGAGGGGGGAGGGCTTCTTGGAAGCACCCCTGCTTCTTAGAAGGCGCGGGCCTCATCTAGAGATGTAAGGCCGGCGCCTTCTAAGGAGCAGCCTGCCTCTAAGAAGCCCCCCCCCTCCCCCCACCCCCTTGTGCGCGCCGCCAAGAGTTGGCCGCCCAGAGTCTTCAAAGGACCACGAGGGGGCCCAGGGTCGGGCGGGGCCCGGGGCCACGCGCAATCACCGGGCGCCCCGGCGCGTGTGGCAGAGCGCACGCTTCGCCACCGGGTTCCTGTACAGGGCGTTCCTTTGCAAGCAGATCGCCTTCGGCACCGCCTGATTCCGGGGCTTTTTGCCCCCTCTCGGCCTTGACGTGAGGCCCCTCCTTCTGCCTTCCCCCCTCTGTCAAGTGAAGCTGTGCGCGGCCCGCTTGGCTTCGACCGGAAGAGGTGCGCTCTCGACCCGCGGATCCAAAAAGTGTGGCAGAGCGCACAGGTCATCCCGGGTTGGCGCGCCTGGCGCTCCCACGGGGGCCCCCGAGTGTGGCCCCGAAGGATCCCCTGGGACGGCCCACTTGGGCTGCCTCGGGGCGTCGAGAGCCCGAGACACGCTGCGCAGCACCTTTTCTCACAGAAGCCCACAGGGCCATCGAGCACCGCATGGAATGCGGTGATGTTGGCTTCTCGGGGCCTTTTTGGAAGGCTTCTTGGAGCCCTCTCGGGGCATCTGACTGCCCAAGATGGCCCGAAGACGGCCCGACAGGCCGCCAAGACGCCCCCGATCGGGCTAGAAGGGTACCCCAAATAGAACCGCCAGCGCTACAATTAATGCGTGTGTTTCTTGTTGCTCGTGTTCTCGTTGTTGTTCCTGGCCTCTGAAAGCCCACGACGGCCCAAGAGGGCACGCTCAAGACAGCGCCAAGAGGGCCCTGAAACGGCCCAATAGATGCCCAAAACGCCCCAAGAGAAGGCCTCAAGAGAGCCCCAACACAGCCCAAGGAAACTCCCAGACGGATGCAACTAAGAAGGCTCCGAGAGAGGTCCAAGGTGGGGAAACCAGAAAGGGCCCTAAATACCCTCCCCCCCACAGTAGCCCCCTAGATGCCCTCAAGAGGCTCCGAACAGACCCCCAAGAGGCCCCCAGAAGATCCCACGAGGCTCCGCACACGATGACGAGCGCAAGAGCAAGAGGATATTGAAAGAGGAAGCGGAGCAGGCGCAAGGGGGGCCGACTGCGAGTAGTACGGCAACGAAGTCCGAGGAAAGGTTGTGGAGACTTTGCTTTTGCACAGTGTCTTAGAGGATGCGAAGATGAAATCTAGTGGACGCATTGTTTCCGCACCATATTTCGCGATGCGAATCACGAGGAAGGATGGTGGATGCACGGCTTTCGCACCACACATCAAACAGTGCAACACCAAAGAAAGTATTGTGGATGTGCTGATTTCGCACCATATGCAATTCGATCCAAAATCCAGTGGAAGGATAGGGAATATGCTGCGCTCGCTCAATGTTTTCAACGGAGATAACGTCCGAATAAAGATGGTGAGTGCTGTGCTTTCGCGCCATACAGTACATGATGCACGAAGGCGATGGAGCATTGTGAATGCATTGCGTTCGCACCATATCTACAACAATGCAGAAACAGAGGGCAATACGCATTGCCGTCGCACGATCTGTTCAAATATACAGAAACTAAGAGAAAGTGATTGGAATGGTGGCTTCGATTGCGCATGATGTTTTGAACGATGCAACGGCGGACGGAATCATTGTGGACGCACCGGTATTGCACCAGATTGCAAATGACGCCAGAACTTACATACAAGTATCTCATGTGTGAATATGTGAGTGTGCGCGCTGCTCTTGCACACTACCTGAAAGGACATGCATCATGAAGTGGACGAACTGCTTTCGCACCGCATCTGAAGAGAATTCACAGGAAAGCATTGTGGACGCACTGCTTTTGCACCGTACATGAAGCGATGCAAATGCCAGTGGATAGACGGTGGATGCACTGCTTGCGCACGATACTTTCAAGGATTCCAGACCAAAGGGGAGATGATGGACGCATTGCCCTCGCACCAGATATGCAAGAATGCACGAACCCAGTAAATTTGATGGACGCATTGTTTCCACGCGGTATCTTGAAAGTCGAAAGGATACCAGCAAAGATGGTGGGTGCCAAGTGCTCGCACCATGTATGAAGCAATGCAACAAGCAGTCGAAAGAGTGTGGATGTATTGTTGTCGCGCGAGACTTCGAAACATGCCTAAGATCACAAGAGAGAGTATGGATGCATCATGTGCGCGCCATATCTATCATGATGCAGAAAAAGAAATGACCTGTGTCGGGTGCACTGCTGTCGCTCCATATGCTAGTCAATGTCAAAATGATGTGGAATGTGATGGATGTGTCCCTCTTGCATCATCCATGGCACGGTGCAGCACCAGAATGGAAATATGGTGAATGTGTTGTTTTCGCACCGTGTGATCAACGATGCCAAGAACCACCAGGGCCTAAGCGATGCCAAGCACCAGATAGTACACACTTGCTGTTTCGCGCAATAACCCAAACTATGCAAAATCCAAGGGAGAAACAGTGGATACCACGTTGTCGGGCCGTAAACTAAAATACGCAAGAGCCCGAGGACTGGTGGCGGGTGCACTGATTGTACATGCACTGCTGCTGCACCGTGCATACAACAATGTGAAGCCAAATGACAGATGGTTGATGCGCTGATGTTTCACCAAATCTTGAAAGATGTATCGCCGGAGGAAACATTCCGGACACATTGCTTTCGCACCAGGTCTTGAATAATTGCATTGTCAATGCCGGGATAGAACGTCAGTGGACGCAGTGGTGCCGCAAATTATGTGAAACGGTGCACAAACAACGAGGATTAGATAATCTCTGTTTACCGTATGTAAAACGATGCAGAGGAGACATGGGGAAGATGGTGGACGCATTGAAACGATGCGAAAGTTACGAGGACAGATTGTGTATAGATGGCGTCGGAGTGATATCGTCAACAATTCGAAGACGAAAAAAACGAAAAACACGATTCGCACCATTCACGTAAAAGACCCGTCACCGTGGAAGGATCGTAGATGCCGCATTCGCATCATATCTTATGCGGTGAAAGAATCACAGGAAATATGATGGATGTACACAGATGGGTATATTAATTCCAGTTCAGATGTTCAATGTTTCAAACATGTTTGTTATGATGGAATGTTGTTGCATCGTATCTGAACCGATGCCAAGACAAGCGAAAATGTGGCGACTCGCTATCGCACCATATGTTCGAATATGCATTAGGCACTGGAGAGTTCGTGTGTGTATTGTTGTCGCACCAGAGGTCAAACGATGCGAAGAATTGGAAGACTATGCTGGCTACGCTGCTGTCGCTTCATACCGTGACGATGCCGAGCCCGTAGGAACGTCGTGGATGCATCGCTTGCGCATCAAATACCAACTTATTCAAAATGCATAGAACATAGTATGGACGCATTGCTTCCGCACCATATCTCCAACGGTGCATAACCCACGGGACATATTGCAGATGCATTTCGGTCTCCCCACTTCGTAAGTGAAAGTAAAGGACGAGAAGACGGTGAATGAACCATTCGTTAGACGATCCAATAGCACTTAGAAAGGTAGTGGGGGAATTGTGTTCGCACCATGTCCCAAATAACGCAAACAACCCAGGGTATAATTTGGACGAAATGTTTCCGCACCATCTGCTAAGCGATTCGGAAACGCAAGGGGCAATCGTGGATGCATTGCGTGTGAACCAGACTATGTAAGATGCAACTAAGCACACGCACACACACACACACACACACACACACACACGTACTCGAAAGACGGTATATGCATTGCGTCCGCTTTAAGTCTTAAACGATACCAAGGCCAGCGGGGGAGGCGGTGGATGCATTGCTGTCGCACCAATGACCAGGTGAGAAATGGTGGACGCATTGCGTTCGCACAATACGTCGGTGGAACGATGCAACTTCTTATAAAGTGTTGTGAACGCATTGTTATCTTACATCTTGGACCACAAGAGACCGGGGGATCGGTGCTGAACGCGCCGTGCTCACAACATGTCCTAGCAGTGCAGTGGAAGCAACAAAAACAAGCATGTCAAGACGGTTCGCTCTCCGTTGCTCTCGTGTCATGCAACATGCGTATCCCAAGCCCTCGGTACCCGCTTTCTGCGTTTTCGATGGTACCCCTTTTGGGGGGTATATCTCCCTTGTTTGCCACATTGGCATGTGGTTAGTGCTGCCGCTAAGTAAAGAGGAGGAGGAGGAGGAGGAGCGAAAAGGGAAAGTGAGAGAGCGAAGGAAGTAGGAGGAAATGAGGAAGGAGGGGGGCAAGAGGGAGAGGATGATTGAAGGCACGGAGGAGTTGGCAAGACGGGGGAGGAGAGGGCAGCCACTATTTGAGCCAGCGGGCCCCGGCGGCCGGGTCGGGCGGGCCTGCTCCAATTGGCGGGCCGGGCGGGGCGAACCCTAACGGGCAGGCCGGGTGGGCGGGCCCCCGCGTGGGGGTCGGACGGCACATTGAAGCGGGCGGGCTGGCGGGCTTCAGGCACGCGATCGTGCGGACCTGGGCAGGTCGGTCGGGCGGGCGGACCTTACCGGCAGGTCGAGGGGGGTGGGCGGGCGTGGGCTTGCGACTCGGGCCGGCGGGGCATTGGAGCGACTCTTTCGCAAATGACGTACAAGCCTCAGGCGAGAGCACGGGCCATGTTTAAATCGTGAGGACGTCTCGTGCGAGGGCGCGATTCTTGGGCGTGGAGGGCGCGGTGCCTGAATAGATCGTGAGGAAGTCCTGAGCGAGCGCGCGATTCTTCGGCCAATCGTTAGGAGGTCTCACACGAGGGCACGGTTTTGAATTCATTGTGCGGAAGTAGTAGACGAGAGCAGTTTTTGTTGTAAGTTGGGGGCCGGGGCGCATTTTGAGGTTCAAGATTTTCATCGATGAGAACTGGGTGCGGGCCTTGGGAGGACCACGTCCGCTAAACAGCGTACTTGGCACCAGGGAGATCAACAATAGGCATTTTCAGAAACTAGAACTGAGCAGCAAGTGGTAAGTATTGTGGGTTCGTTGTTTGCACAAGCCATCTCACTTTATGCAAGCAGGAAAGAAAGACAGCAAAGGGCGGACGCAGTGCCTTCGCACCCAGTTTCGAACGATGCAAGAACCACAGCAGAGATGCTGGACGCATCGCTTCCGCACCACATCTTGAAACATTGTTGGTTTGGCTTGCCCCGCGTGGAAACACAGCGCGCGCGGAGCGCGCGCGACTGTTCACCCGTTGGAGACGTAAGCCAGGGCGCAACGTAAGCCGCTCCCATGGGTGCGGCGGGTGCGGCAGGGTCGTGTCGTGTCGACGCGGCGGCGAGCCCAGCACAGAGGGAAGACGCGATCGACAGAATCAGATCGCAGGATGGCCGTGCCCCCCACCCGTCGGTCGGGGGTAGCGCTGCAGGGGGATGTGCTCGAGGGAGGGGCGGCGCGTCGACCCTCCATCGCCCGTCCACTGCCGATGCGGACCTCATAGCCCCCTCCCGGGCGTCCGGCAATGGGGGGGCGATAACTGGGCCCAGAGTCGATCTGCCGAGCGATCCCTCAAGGCGTCACGAACCCGAACCCTCCGTACGGCGTCTTAGGATGCAGTTCGTGGGAGTTAGAATCAGCATCGGCGTGTGTACATCCGTGGTCACAAGTCGGTATGGTCCCGCTCAAGTCCACCGAATCGCGCTTCACATTGCATTTCATAGTAGCCAATCCGGCTCAATGTCTTTTTCATTTGGCCTAATAACCTTTTAGCCGTTCTTGCGAAGACCTCCCAGAAGTTGTTTCTCAAGGCGTCTTCTCCCCCCAGCCATGGATGAGCCCTTCCCCCCCCTGTGTCGGCACGGTGTCGATTTCAGTGCGGTTCAGGGGTCGCGCCCGTGTCCCCCCCCCTCCACACACCTTTGTGTGGGCGTTCTGGGGGGAGGGGGATGCGATGTCGGTGCCGTCGACGACCGCGCGGGCAGTTGTCCTATTCCTCCCCCCCCCACTCTCGTCCTCCTCCTCCTCCTCCTCCTCCTCCTCCTCCTCCTCCTCCTCCTCCTCCTCCTCCTCCTCCTCCTCCCCCATCCTTCTCTCCGGTACCTCGCTCGAGAGGAGCGGGCAGTGACTTTCTCTGTCAGAGTCTTTCGCGATGGGGATACAGTTCACCATCCCCAGAACTCCTGGCGAGGAGGCTAGGCTGGCTGACTGACATGGATTTCATGGGCTCGTCTCGTCTCGTCCCCCCTCCTCTTCCCTCCCCCTCCCTCCATCACCTCTACGTCTCTCGTCCTCTCATCCTCGTTCCCCCTCGTTATCGTTCCGTTTCCTGGTCTCCTTCTGTGTGTGGTCTTTGCTCATCATCAAATTCCTAACCCTCATCATGCCGTCGCCAGTCTGGCTCCGCTCGTGTTCGAGCAGAGTCGGATTTGTCGGATCTCCCAAGCGGAGATTTCACGAAAAGGCATCCGTGGTATTGCCTGTTCATGTCAACTTCTCACCTCCATATCCACAACAGTGTATGTGGTCATCCGTGTCTGAGGCCGCCGTCCGTGCACAGCCCCTGCTTATAATGTTTATGAGGCCGTTGGGCCTTCACCTCGAAGCCGTCTGCAAGTTTCGTCCCCAGTCCGTGCGGGTGGGCCACAGGACTCTGAGCCTGTTTGCAGGAAGGGGCCATGCGGGGCTCTATCCTTGCCTTATGGATCTCAGCTTCTAAGGGAGGGTGGGGCGAGTCTGGTATGTTGGAAGGGTTGCTGGAAGCGGGATGAGGATTCATGCTCCTCCAGAACACGAGTCAAGTTTCTCTGCACGTCTTCCCTTCACGGGGCCAAAGACGCAAGCGCATGAAGAGGAAAGCCACAGAGGAGCCTTTGGTCTAGAGATGAATTCCACTGCGGGGCATGTTGTCAGTTCTCTTGCCGAGGAAGTTCCAAGGTGAGACCCCACACCTCCGAATTGCGAGCCCTTCCCATTTTTTGCTGCAGTAAGCACATCAGAGAAGAACTCGGCATGCCAGAAGGTGCCGCACGGAAATCATCGTACCTCCCAGTGGCCCTAGGGACCCACACAAGTTCCTTAGGGCATCTCGGGGTCCTCAAAGGTCGACGACGGATGTGCCCCACGATATCCTATAGCAGTATGTATGATCGTATGTGTCTACTTTAGTTAAAGGAAAACAGCAAACAAACAAACAAACAAACAAACAAATAACGATGGGTGTGTGTGTGTGCTGTCCTCGCGAAGTCTGCTAGCGATCTTCGGGCCCCCGAGCTCGCGGTGAGCCGCGTTTGCGGAGCCCGGCCACCGAGGCGGACGCGTGCCGGGAGACCTACGCGCAGTACACGAGCGGCAAGGCCAGGCACGTCGCTCGGTGCGCGCCCACCTACTACAACGCCTCCTGCGAGAAGGCGGACGGGCGGGGCCACGGTCGGAATTGTGGGCGTCTTGGCATCGCTCGGACGTGCGCAGTTTTTCTCGACGAGAACCATCGAGGACCATCCTGGACCATCGAGCAAAAAGAACACGCACGAAACCTAAAAATGCATGGGAAATGGACGTCCGAGCGACGGCAAGGCTTCGCGTGTCGCGCAGCCGCTTCTTGCCCACCACGCTTCGGCGCGGCACGCTATCCGCGTCTCAGTCGCCCAGCGTCAGTGTCCCGGGCAGTTCCCAGCGCCAGGGCCCGCGGAGTGGGGCGACACGCTGTCCAGTCGCAGGGCATGGAGTGTCGCCGGGGCCGTCGCCGCCGCAACACGATAAGCAAAAGTTCTCGACCGTGGGATTGGGATAAGTCGTGCCTGAGCGTCCCGCGCCAGAGCGCTCGCTGGCGGCCGCGTTGCCCGGTTCAGCCTCCAGAACCGCCAGATCTCAGAGATCCCCGCTCTGTCCCAGTCCGACGTTGCCTTGTTCCTGGCTTCAGCTCAGGCGTGCATCGAGGTGCAAGCGCAGCACGCGGGCTGCGGCGTCGTGGAGGGCGACAGCCCAGGAGCTATCACCGGCAACGGTGGGATCGAGGGCGCGTGCGCGCCGCCCCAGCCCTCGTGGGTGATGGGCCCCTTCACCTACGATGCCAAGGAGGCCACGGGGGAGCAGTGCAAGCGGATCGAGAAGGTGCAGAATACGAGGTATGCGCAGAAGGTCGTGAAGTCTGGTTGGCTCTGGAAGAAGGGGCGCGGCATCAACGGATGGGACAAGCGCTTCTTCGTGCTGGAGTCTGGGGACCAGGTCAGGTCGGCCGTCCTCCGCTATTTCAAGAAGGACCCCTCCGCGAACGCGGATTCGGACGAGAGCGTTGGGAAGGGCATCATCCTTTGGGATGCGAAGGGCCTGAAGGTCAAGAGTGGAGAGCATTACGGCTGGAAGGACGGCGAAGAGTGTTTCAAACTCTACCACTTCTACCGTGACTTCAGGCTCTGCGTGCCCAGCGACGGCTTCCCTGATGAGCAGAACGAGGTCAAAGACCGGGACGAGTGGATGGGTTTTCTGGACGTAGAGATGACGCATTCCAAGGAAAGTTGAGTTGATGCCTGCAGTAGCGCAAATATTGTTGAGCCACAAAATTACGATGAGGTTCCGAGACCCGTAAAGGAGCCACCAATGACACGCAAACGTGTTTTGGCCTATCACCAGCATCGCGACGCGAAACAATAAGAAAGACGCCAGGCACCCCGCGTCTGACCTTTGGCTTGCTCCCCTGAGCTCCTGGCCTTCTGGGCGGCCTACAGTTGTGCCGGTGCAGGCACCATGATCCAGGGCATCGGGATCATGACCCAGCAGGTTTTTTTAGACAAGCCGTTTCAGGCTTCGTTGGTTTGGGGCAATTTTGTGTGGGCGGATTTGGTGGGGATTTTTTGGGGCAATTGCCATGTTTGAATTGATTGACGGCTCATGCGGGAATGCTTTAAACATGTGTTGGAAAGTTATCGCGGCCAGATCGGAGTTCTATCCGAGACACATCGTGCTTGCGGCAGGTTCCGCCATCGTGCCAGCGCAGCGTTTTGTTCACCTCTCTTCCCTTGGTCCAGAGCTCGCTCGCATTCCCGCAGCGCTGTTCCCCGGGGCTGGTCCCTTGGTCCAGAGCTCGCTCGCTCGCGGTCCCTTGTTCGTTGTTCGGGTTTGTCTGTTGTGACGTGTTCTCTTGGCGATTGTGGGCGTACTGAGGTTTTCTTTGGGGCGTCTCGGGAGCTTCAGATGTTCTTCTGGGAGCGTCTTAGGCGCCTCTTGGGGCCATCCGCGGGCTTACGGACGCCATCTGGGGCCCACCTTGCACTGTCTGGGTGCCCCGCAGGACCCTGCTCAGCTGGGCCTCCGAGGAGTCCACGAAAGGGGCGACAGCTGCGCAGTTGGCAGCCCCCACAGGGATCCGCGAGGCCTGGTCTGGGTGCGCGGAAGACACCACTGCGCTGGGCCTCCCGGGAGCCCACGAACGTAGCGCTGGTTGCGCAGATGGCAGCCCCACAGGGAGCCCCGAGGGGTAGCCTGGACGCGCGTAAGACACTGCGCTGGGCCTTCCGGGAGCCCACGAAAGTAGCGACCGACGGTTGCGCAGTTGGCAGCCTCCGATGGGAGCCACGACGCTTAGTCTGGGTGCGCGTAAGACACCACTGCACTAGGCCTCCCAGGAGGCCACGAAAGTGGCGCATGCTGCGTAGTTGGCAGCAAACCCAGGGAGCCGCGAGGTCTCGTCTGGACCTCCGTATGGCACCACGCCGGTCGACCTCCCAAGAGCCCACGAACCTGGCGACGGTCGCGCCGGTGGAAGCCCCTAGCCGCAAAGGAGGGAGGCAGGCAGAGAGGAAGAGGAGGAGACGGCAGGAGGAGAGAGGAGGCGGGAAGGAGAACGGAGGCGCACGATCAAGATTCTGCGTATACCAAGACTCCGACGCAGCAGGGGTTAGGATACTTTATGTGTATATATGCATGTGTACATCACTCACTCACTCGCCACACCGAAATGCCCGAAGTTCCTGAACAGAGAAAAAGACGTGCTCTGAAATGTGCTGAAACCTAGGCGGTGCTCGCCTCAATGTGGCGTCTAATTATGGCACCACCGCCGATGATCGTGAGCGGCTCGGCGCACCACGTAGGCCGGCGAGTCCACAACCCAGCCCACCGAGGGGCGCGTCCCTTTCCCCTACCTCTCCCACGACCGCGCCCTCTGACGCGAGCCGTCTGGAGGGGGACGCGAACACCCTGAGGGAGAGGAGCGGGAGGACAAGCGGACGGCAGAGGGGCATCGGCAGGGCTCCCGAGGCCAGGAGGAGCAGGAGGGGGGAGGTTCGGAGGAATTTTCCTCTCGACTCTTTCTCGAGCTGGCAGTGTGTCCAGGCGGCGGGCGGAAGTCCCACTGATTACATCAAGTGAACCAACCCTCAGATGTTCAGAAGTCGAGGTAGCCCCCGTTCCGTCACACACTCCAGTCGTATGTTCTCCCGACTGAATCAAGCCGTTGTGTTCGCCACCAGTCTTGTGCACTCCATCCGCTGGGAGGGTCATGTGCTGCTGGGGGCGGAGCTGTAGGCTTAGTGAAGGTTCCTCAGCCGTCGGAATGTACATCAAACTACTGTTCGCACCAGTTTGTGCTCCATTCGCTGATATAGACTTCAAGCGTCGCATAGACTGGCCATCGATCTCACGATCCGTCCCAGTCTCCCCAGCCCGGCTTGACCGTGTGGGGTGGCTCACAGCTCCTCCATCATCGCTTCCATCCATAGAGCTAGTTCGTCCTCCACGAATTCCGCCGGGGCTGGTGCCGTGCATACTTGCCTGTTGCCGTTGTGGAGCGCGTTCATGATGTGCTGCCTGATCTCCTGGCTGCGGCACGTGAAGAGGATCTTGCACGGGCCGTTCTTGAAGACGTTCTCCAGCTTGCACAGCGGGAAGGTGTCGGCGACGTGGTGCTCGTCCATTTGGTTGAGTGCTTGGATCGAGCTCTCGAGGTCCGCCTTGCTCTTCGCTCCTATGTCCTGCTTGGCCAACGTCTCCACCATCGCCATGGCTGCTCCAGGTGCTGGAGGGCCCCTTTTGTGTGATGATCCTTCTTGGCGGATGGCACGGGCATAGTGTTTGTTCTCCGTCTCGATGGCGACGACCAATGGGTCCTTCTCCTCTGCTTTCACTGTCGTGACATGTATACATACACACATACACATATGTATGTAGTGTCTGAAAACATGGAGCCCTCACAGACAAGCTGCGCAGGGAACAATGAAAGCACAACTATCTGGCGTACAGCGAGAACGTGTCTGCTATCCTTGAAGTGCTTGCTCTCGGTGGGCTTGTTTGCTTTCAGGGGGCGGGGGCGGGCGGCGGAGGAGCAGCGCCGCCCTCGCCGACCGCTGCCTGGCCCGGGCCCAAGTCACCTGCCTGTGCGTGGACGCCGCGTCGCTGAAGATCGCGCGCTGCCCGGAGGCTGCCCTGCGCTCAACGCCTCCCCGCTCCTCCGCCGCCCGATCCTGGACTCCCGAGGCACAGAACAGAACCGAGACTGATGTTTTCCGCCGTCGTCGGCCTCCGGGGGCCCTCGCCGGGATCGGAGCAGGTTCCAAAAGACGGCCCCGGAGAAGGGGCCGGAATTCCTTGTGGGGGGGGGGCGGCTTTCGGAAAAATCAAGACAGCAGATCCCTGCCATAGTTACCACTTCCCCCCACTGCGCTCCTTGCCTCCCCCCGGTTCCCGCCACCCTTTGCTTCTCACGCAAGGGTGACATGTGCAAGGGAGTCTGTGGGCCCAGTTTCGGGTAACTTGTGCTCGGGGGTGGAGCCTCGAGTAATGCACCAGAATTATGTCTAGCCTTCTGGCCAGCGGCCCAGGTGTTCTGGATCTTCTCTTTGAGGAGAGCCTCTGGGAATTTGAATGTCTAGCTGATGGACGAGCTTGGCCCCCTTGTCCTTTTTTCTCCCCAAAGTGTTTCGTCTCTTGTTGACGTTTGTATCATTCTGCCTATATAAGTATATAGATACATATATAAACATTATATGTTGAATAAGTAGTACTCTTATGAATAGCATCATTAGTCGCAATAGTAATGATAGCCATGATACCAATAATAGTAGTAATCGTAATGATGACAGTAACGAGAATTATACAACAATAATAAGGACACGAAAAATAAAAATGAATATAGTAAAAAGAAGAAGAATGAGAACAGTAATAATAACGCGAATACTAACAAATCAATAAGAGTACTAATGCTACAAAGGGTGAGAATAGTAGTAATAATAATGAATCAATACTACTAGTACTACTACTACTACGACTACTACCACTACTATTACTATTACTATTACTACTACTACTACTACTACTACTACTACTACTACTACTACTACTACTACTACTACTACTATTCATACTACTACTACTACTACTACTACTACTACTACTACTACTACTACTACTACTACTACTACTACTACTACTACTACTACTACTACTACTATTACTAAAACTACGACTACTACTACTACTACTACTACTACTACGACTACTACTACTACTACTACTACTACTACTACTACTACTACCACTACTACTACTACTACTACTACTACGACTACTACTACTACTACTACTACTACTACTACTACTACTACTACTACTACTACTACTACTACTACTACTACTACTACTACTACTACTACTAGAACTAGAACTAGAACTGAACTACTACTACTACTACTACTACTACTACTACTACGACTACTACTACTACTACTACTACTACTATTACTACTACTACTACTACTACTACTACTACTACTACTACTACTACTACTACTACTACTACTACTTCTACTACTACGACTACGACTACGACTGCTACTACTACGACTACGACTACGACTACTACTACTATACTCATGAGAATGAGAATAATAGAACTAAGGGCATTATCCGTATCTTTACCATTCGCACTATCATCATTATTGTGTTTGTGTCTCCTGTCTCGTGCTGCTCTCCCGCCGCGCTATTTGCTGTGTCTACGCGGGTCATGCTGCGGCGTCCGCGGCGCCGCGGCCGCCGCCGCACCTGTGGCCTACGTCTGGGCCCGCAGTGCGCGGCTCTGGCTCCTGCCTGCCCCGGCCCTCCAGGGCCCATCTCGATCCGCTCGGCCCGAATCAATGACTACAGTGGGGGACGTTCGCTAAGGAATTTGACCCGGAGGCGTCAGATCCTGGAGGATTCCTGATCCGACGAGGGCGGCGATGATGTACATGGCCAAGCCTCCACTGGTGCTCCACCTGGCCAGTGTTTCGGACCCTGGATCCCTGATCCAATTTTTCCTTATCCAAGGCCCTCACCGTACCGATTCCAGCCGTCCCGACCCGATCGTGTTCCAACGTTCGGCGAAGCGATGCGGCCTGCTGTCTCTGCAGGGGCGTTTCTGTCCGTCCTGGCGTGGCCGATCCGATCCGATGTCGATCCCGTGCCGATGCAGGCTGAGCGTTCCGACCCGATCCGATGCCGACTGCTCCCGTCCCCCCCTCGCCCTGCTCCTGGAAGGCCCTGGCCGCGAGGTTGCTGGCGTGGGCCTCCGGGGACGCTGCCGCACCGTGAGGCGGCCGCGGGCCGACGGAGGGGTAGGCTTCCCCAGACGCCTCGCGCCCCGAAGAAATCGAGGCGACCTGTCTGGCGCCTCGGGCGGGCTGTGATGGGAGGGTGACCTGATGGGGGGTGAAGGAAAGTTTGGGCCGGCGAGGCGGGGAAGTGCGAAGGAGAATGCCTTCTCGGACGGCGGGGATTCTCAGAAGCTCGCTGGTCTTCTGGAGGGGTTTGCCGGCCGTGTCTTCGAGGAAGCTTTAGGAACCTTCTCAGAGGGCCGGGGGACTTCCACCCTTCCGAGAAGACCTTTTCCTACTCGCTTCCCCCCCCTCGCTCGGCACCGAGGACAGGGCTCCTTGGGGCCCCGTTCGGGCCCCTGCTGGCTCCAAGAGGAGACCTCAGTGGCCCCGTGCAGGGCAATTTTTTCTTGTACCCACGCGTCGTTCTCAACAGAGCTCGGGACGCAGCGAGGATCGATGCGTGAGGATTGCCGCAAAGATAGCCCGGTGCATACGCGTCTCACTTGTTTCTCACTCGCTTAGGCCTCTGCTTCTGTCCCCCCTCTTTGTTCATTCAAGTTTCGCGCGGCCCGCTTAGCTTCGACCGGAAGAGGTGCGCTCTCGACCCGCGAATCAAAATAATGCTTCTCACTCGCACGAAAGAAGATTACACTGGTTGTAGGGCGCCCCCGTTACGTGTTGAGACACTATCTTGGGCCTTGTGGAACAATTGGGATATTGTGTGATGAGGTGGGCCATCTTGGTTCGTCTTGTAGACGCCGCGTGCAATCTTACAACCAAGCGAAGCAATCTGCAAGCGCAGCATGACAATATTGGAAGGTGCTGATTCTCGTTCCCAGGAATATCGTGGACTCTGGTGCTCGTTACCAGGCAATTTCGAACAGGAGCCAGCGCACCGCAACATACGATTGATTCACAGTTGAAGGCCGTAGGGGAATTCTTGAGTGCTTCAGTGATTACGTTATGATCACGTGGTTCTTGTATATAGTTTCGAGATATAGTGGTGGCTCTCTTGGGAGCAGTGCCCGATAGGTCGGGGCTCCCTCGAGGGCACTGCAAGGCATAGTAACACAAAAAGTCAAACCAGGGATGCGCGCTGCCAACCTGGTTCAAGTGAAGTTCGGCTCAAATCCACACCCGTTGCGCTGCGAAACGTCGGTTCCACAGTTTATACTCACGTCAGGTGGAAGCCTCGATGACGTTCACGCTGCGCCTCGGATATCTCTCGGTCACCATCCGTATTGCGCAAAGCAGCCGTGTGTCCAATCAGGAGTTGGACTTGCTGGCCATTGCAAACAGAATCGCCGAGAATGACACCTGGGACGATTTCGACGAAGACCCCTTCGACCTGGATAAAGATGAAGACGTTGATTCAATGGACTTACGCAACTCCGCCGACCCCCAGAGGAAAGGAGTCCACGGTTGAGGCTATCAAGGGCCGCATCTGACCGTTTGAGAGCCTCCTTGTGGGCCTTTTGGATGCATATCAGAGTGTTTTGGGATGCCCGGCTTGGGATTATTCGAAAGCCCTTCGGGCCTCTCGAGGGCTTCTTGGAGGATGGTTGGGGGCCTGTTCGGGGCCTCTCGGAGGCTTCTTAGGGCCTCTTGGGAGGGCCGTGGCAGTCTCTTGGAGGCTCTTGGGGCCATCTCGGGAGGAAAGGCTGAAATGTTTGTTTGTGTTCCCCGTCTTGGCCCCCCTCGTGTGGTCCGGAGTCCCGGCCCCATGTAACATCGGAATTGGAAGTAATGGGGGTCGGGTTGTTCCTCCATTGGCGACGCCCAGACAACGCAAGACAACCACATGGGAATATGGAAAAAATGCTACATCCTCTTCGGCGTCGTCCCCCCCTCGCTCTCATCGTCGTCGGCCTTCTTTTCGACCCGCCATAGGGGTCCAAAGTTGGGATTACCGTCGTCGGCCATCGGGGGCCATCTTGAATCTAACATGGCTTCAAGATGGCCCTCGAGGCCCCCAAGACGGCCCAAGAGTGCTACCAGAGTACCGCCGAGAAGGCCTCAAGAGGAAAGCATCTGCCCATTTCAATAGGACAGCAGGCACTCTTGGTACATACGAAGCCCCCCAGCCCGTCCCAACACGGCCCACAAAGCAGCCAGGGGGTTCCACGACGGCCCAAGAGAGCTTAAGGATGGCACAAGAAGGCCCCCAAGACAGCCTGAGCAAGCCCTACAGCGCGCGTCCCCCGAGCACGATTGGTTATACGTTCAAGATTCCAGGTGCATTCGGAAGGTGGGCCGGCCGAGGACAGAATAGGCACGCAGTGTAATGCCAGACGCTATCTGGCTCGTGGGAACGGGAACGAACCGCACTGGCGTCTGCGAGTACACCACGCTAGTTTCCAGTTGTGATATAATGTTTGCCTTTTGCCCGTGAGCTGTCATAGCCTACTGCACGCACGCACGCGCGCAGACCTTCCGATATGAGTGTTGATGCGAGATGTGTTAGATCTTTGTTGCATTGGTTTACAACGGGCGAACGGTTCCTTGATTGCGTGCGGAATTCTTACACGCATGTGCGGAATTCCAACATGCATTCCGAAAGCATGACGATAAATGTAGATCGACACCTTCTTTGCCTGCCCAAGGAGTCTTACATGATGGCATCCCGATCGATGGTTACATCTTACCGGGCTTACAGCACTATATTACGCACGCATTGGGCCATGTGTGTTCTGTTAACATTCATTATCAAAGTTGGAGTTGGGAGTCACAACTGCAGCAGACAATATAAACTTACATGGCTTATTCTGGTATGTCTGATTATACGCGTATGCGATCATTTTGCAGCGCGTCCTTCCTAGCGGGATCCATCGTTTTCGGACCCCCGGCACCAACGCCCAAATGTGCGGCCCATGCCCGGGCACTTAGACCCTCCATGCGTGGCGAGACTCTTGAATGCATGGAAGCATCTTGCGACCCTCGATCTGTGCTTTACGATGGATATCGAAATCCGTATTCTCAAACGTGCGTACATCTTCAAATTATCGCACGAGATTATACAACACCACAACCACTACATTGAGTTAGAGAGATGACCATGGTTCGGAACCAGATTGCATTGCCGTTTGCGCGTTTTTATTGCTTCAGCCCCGGATGTTTTTGCATATGGCGGCCCATGGTGGCGTTTGCCCGAGTCCGGGAATTGCGGGGCAAAGTCGTTTTTTTATTGCGCGGAATGGGCCGTTTGATTTGTAGTAAAGTTTTTTGCAATAACCCAGAATCGCCCGAATTACATCATCGAACCGGAGCAATGACAAATAAATCTTCTACGAAGGCAACGCCGTTGATCGAGATCGGCGAACTTAACCGCGCGGTTATTTGTCGGCGTCCGCGGGTCTGAAGTTCGCAGACATCCCGAACGGGCCCAATGCGATTTATAAGGTTGCCGCTGCCGGTTGGGCACTGAAGGTGGCGAACCGTTTGTTCTGCGAGCTCTCCCATGGCGAATCCGTTGGCACCGCTGCTTCGGCGGGCAATTTTGATTTTAAAATGCTGACGCCCACCGACACCACAGAGAAGAAGAAAAAAAACAATTGCCCATGTCGTTTGGCCACGCGTTTGGCTCAAGTGCAAGCTCGGCCGAAGATCTCGTCGACCTAGCTTCAGCAATGAAACTAGCAGCAGCAACGATTTTAAGGTCCTTGAATCGCAGCATTTTCGCGCGCGCCTTCCGGGGTTCTCGCGACAGTTCAATGCAGGATTGCAGGGGACAGGATACAAATATTACAAATCATGTTTGGACGTAAACGGTTAGGCGGAAACCATGGCACGTGCTTACAGTTTATAATTACTTCATTTTACAAACAAAAAAAGCTGGGAGAGTGGTAGCCGAACGCGTCATCCAGGTGTTGCTTGAAGTTTCGGTTTCCTAGTTAGTTTACATAATTTTTGAAAGTCCAGACCGCAATCGAACGGAATCTACTATCGTTTCGCATAAGATATTTCACGAATACGCACCCGGATAAGGAATTAGAACATCGGCCAGGCAATTGTTCATCATATTTTAATTCATTTCCGTGATTTTAATATGATACATTTGGCGCCGACGCGTTTCATTTAAAATTCGAAACATTGATTAAGAAGGAAATTACGCGCTCGATCACATAAGGCGGTGCGTAAAGTACATGAATGTTCGCACTGGCGGATAATCAAGTATTACATTCCACTGTGTCTTTGCAGACCCTTCCGACGATTACCGCCAAAAACAATAATCGTTGCAAGTTCCGATCCGCTTCATGTTAGAATACGTGGTCTTAGGGCATTGCTTTAAAGAGCGATAAATAAAGAACGAAGCCCCCAAAGGAAAATGTAAGGAAAATTGTTAAATGATGCCGGAGAAAAACCCAATCATAATCTTTTTGGGGCTATAAGGCTATAGGGCTAGAAGGCTATGAGGCTACAGGCCTACAGGGCCATAGGGCTATAGGGTTATGGGGCTGTAAAGCTATAGGGCTATTAGGCTATAAAGCTAAAGGGCTATTAGGTGTAGGCGCAGGGGCTATAGGATTGATTACAGGGCTCTATAGAACCACCGGGCACCTGGGCACCCGGGCACACGGGCCCCGGGCGCTCGGGCACCCGCCGGGCACCCAGGCACCCAGGTACTTGGGCACCTGGTCACCCGGGCCCCCCCGGGCACCCGGGCACCCGGTCGTGCGGCGAAAATCGGCAACAAACCTAACCTAACCATCTGAATCTGTTAGAGCCCCTACAGACGCAAGTTCTGGTTGGGGAACAACTAGAGAATCAGGAGCCCCTCCCTCACAAAAAGGGTTTCTTTTTCAGCGCCTTGATTCCATTGTGCCCCGCCCCGTTCGATGTTGAATAAACAGATTGGCTTGCAAATTCAATATGTGCCCCGGTAAGATGCTAATCTTTGCTTAGCTATTTTTGCACATATTCTTCTTTGTCTGGTAGCATTTTCTCTTAGCACCTTTGACTTGTCAATAGACGCGCCATTGGATTCACACATAAGTC